GTATTTCCTACCACAAAAATGGATGATATTTGCCTAAATCTACCAAAGTTTGGGTGTTTGAATATTGGTTCATGCTCCACTCGTCTCCAGAGGTATTTCTGCGTTGTTTGGAGAAAAGTCCATTTTTGGCCAAATTTGGTTAAAAATGTAAGGCTAACCCCTTGTATTTTTTTCAATTTTGGCCAAAAAATGAAATTCCTTGGAACTTACAGGAAAGATGCTTCAGGTAACCCTGAACACATTCCAATTCGATTGGGGAACAGATGTGCCTTGGAAAAGAAAATTTGGCCGAAATTTGGGGTAAAAACAGTCAAAATTTGGCTTTTTATTTACATGTATTTCCTACCACAAAAATGGATGATATTTGCCTAAATCTACCAAAGTTTGGGTGTTTGAATATTGGTTCATGCTCCACTCGTCTCCAGAGGTATTTCTGCGTTGTTTGGAGAAAAGTCCATTTTTGGCCAAATTTGGTTAAAAATGTAAGGCTAACCCCTTGTATTTTTTTCAATTTTGGCCAAAAAATGAAATTCCTTGAAACTTGCAGGAAAGATGCTTAAAGTAACCCTGAACACATTCCAATTCGATTTGGGAACAGATGTGCCTTGGAAAAGAAAATTTGGCCGAAATTTGGGGTAAAAACAGTCAAAATTTGCCTTTTTATTTACATGTATTTCCTACCACGAAAATGGATGATATTTGCCTAAATCTACCAAAGTTTGGGTGTTTGAATATTGATTCATGCTCCACTCGTCTCCAGAGGTATTTCTGCGTTGTTTGGAGAAAAGTCCATTTTTGGCCAAATTTGGTTAAAAATGTAAGGCTAACCCCTTGTATTTTTTTCAATTTTGGCCAAAAAATGAAATTTCTTGAAACTTGCAGGAAAGATGCTTAAGTTAATAACCCTGAACACATTCCAATTCGATTTGGGAACAGATGTGCCTTTGAAAAGAAAATTTGACCTAAATTTGGGGTAAAAACAGTCAAAATTTGATTTTTATTTACATGTATTTCCTTCCCCCAAATGGATGATTTTTGCCTAAATCTGCCAAAATTTGGGTGTTTGAATATTTATTCATGCTCCACTCGTCTCCAGAGGTATTTCTGCGTTGTTTGGAGAAAAGTCAATTTTTGGCCAAATTTGGTTAAAAATGTAAAGCTAACCCCTTGTATTTTTTTCAATTTTGGCCAAAAAATTAAATTCCTTGAAACTTACAGGAAAGATGCTTAAGGTAACCCTGAACACATTCCAGTTCGGTTTTGGAACAGATGTGCCTTTGAAAAGAAAATTGGACCGAAATTTGGGGTAACAATAGTCAAAATTTGATTTTTATTTACATGTATTTCCTACCCCAAAATGGATGATTTTTGCCTAAATCTGCCAAAATTTGGGTGTTTGAATATTGATTCATGCTCTACTCGTCTCCAGAGGTATTTTTGCGTTGTTTGGAGAAAAGTCCATTTTTGGCCAAATTTGGTTAAAAATGTAAGGCTAACCCCTTGTATTTTTTTTCAATTTTAGACAAAAAATGAAATTCCTTGAAACTTGCAGGAAAGATGCTTAAGGTAACCCTGAACACATTCCAATTCGATTTGGGAACAGATGTGCCTTTGAAAAGAAAATTTGACCTAAATTTGGGGTAAAAACAGTCCAAATTTGATTTCTATTTACATGTATTTCCTTCCCCAAAATGGATGATTTTTGCCTAAATCTGCCAAAATTTGGGTGTTTGAATATTGATTCATGCTCTACTCGTCTCCAGAGGTATTTTTGCGTTGTTTGGAGAAAAGTCCATTTTTGGCCAAATTTGGTTAAAAATGTAAGGCTTACCCCTTGTATTTTTTTCAATTTTGGCCAAAAAAATGAAATTCCTTGAAACTTGCAGGAAAGATGCTTAAGGTAACCCTGAACACATTCCAATTCGATTTGGGAACAGATGTGCCTTGGAAAAGAAAATTTGGCCGAAATTTGGGGTAAAAACAGTCAAAATTTGATTTTTATTTACATGTATTTCCTACCACAAAAATGGATGATATTTGCCTAGAACTACCAATGTTTGGGTGTTTGAATATTGGTTCATGCTCCACTCGTCTCGAGAGGTATTTATAGACTATCACGTGTCCTCTAAACACCTTGACACGAGATGGAGATAAACCTTGACAATCACTGAAGCATAAAACCTACTCAAACAGCAGCCTATATAATGGTCAATCCAGGGAGGCCCTTCAACCAGGTTGCATCAAGACCATCACGCTAAGAAGCTATATCCATCTCGAACACCGCTGGCAACCAGCATTCCAGCAGTCTTTATGTTCTTCATCTAGCTTCAGCAGGTGCATCATCTACGGCCCACCAGTCTGACTGATTGGGCTGCGAAGACAGACCTGGACTACTAACAGGACTTCAAATAAGAAGTCTGCAATATCCAATCAAAAATTTAGTCCAAGACCCATAAACTACAAGTCCTATCAATTTGCAGACCTATCAGGCTTTGAAACCCTTCAGTTTCCCCTCAACTATCAGCCAGCTAGAGTCCAAAAACCTACTCTCCAAAAGCCTACCCTCCAGCTCCCAACCCCTTAATTCAGTTCCCAACTTCTCCACCTCCCAGCCTCAGACCCTCAGATCAAATAAATTTGTCAGGGGTCCCTTGCAATCTGAAAATCTGGCCAGAGCTGAATAATTTTGAAGTATAAACAACCTAAGGGTTTTAATTATCAAAACCGGAGAGTTTTTTCAAGAAAGTACCATAGCTATGCAAGAGGTACGGGGTTCAACTCCACCCTATGCTCCTATTTTATTTATTTTTTAAAAATTTACCACTGCAGTGAGGAAAAATTCTCCCGGGTCCCCGGCTGGGATTGAACCAGGGACCCAGCGGCCTGGTGGTCAGCGAGCTAGACCACCAGGCCACATTGCTTCCTCGAAAAATTTGATCTCGGAACTAATATTTAAAGGTTACATTGCGAAATATCAAAAAAAGAAGAATATAACCCTTACCCTCATTTGAGTAATAAAACCAGAAAAATGAATATTCAGAACACCACCACTGATCAAAAATTCTGGTTCTCCAATTTAAACATTTATTCAATATGCTTTCTGTTGTTAAAGTTGTACACTATTTACAAACCTATTTTAGGCCAACAAAAATTAAATAATCGGTCTCTGGTCAGACCGAAGTTCCGGAATTGATGCGACGACGCGTTTTTTTTTTTTTTTGGTGGCTTTTTTTTCCCAAGCTTGAATTGTACAGACAAGGTGGGTACTATTTTGCTTTTTTTGTGTCCTCATTATATACATTGGTGTCCTCCATAATTTGCCTTGGTACCCTTGACCATTTGCCTTGGTGCAATTTCCCCATTCCTTGGTGCTCCTTGGTACAAAAATTTGAGGAGGTGCGGCAATAGAGGGCGCTGTTGTAGCTTCCGTTGTATTTGAAGAAGAAAAAAAGGTTGGCACGCATGATTAAAATCGACGCGCGCCCTGACCAGAGACCGAGTATTTTTTTTTTTTTGGGCCTTGCAATATTTCTTTTTAAAGTAAACTTTAAGTTGTTTTAAAACTATTTTAACAATAACCACAATTCGTTTTAATGTAATAAATTTAGAAATTAATTTGCTTCCTCTTATAAGAGTCTAGATTAGTCAATTTAATGCATAGGATTTTAATGGCAAGCCCGTCATACAAAATTTGCAGGGTTTTTTTTTCAGTGGGGTTGGGGACAAAATTGGCCATAAAAATAAAAAAGGGCAAATATTTGTTTGAATATGAAAATGAGAGTTACTTTTTGCAATCTGGCTTTTACCTCAGTTTAGGTCAAACCTTTTCAGTGATTTTTGCCTAGCATGTAATACATATTTACCCTTCAAATTCACTTCACAACAAAGAAAAACCTACCAATTCCAATACAGAGTGACATCTTATATTAGGAATAATTTCTAGTACAACTGAAGTTAAACAGTATCACACCAATTTCAAATACATAGGCATTCTACAATTTTACTTGTGCCATCTGGCTTGATTCTAAATTTCAAATTGTTTCAACAACAAAAAATACTTACAGATCTTGTTCCACTATTGATTCTTCCACCAGGACTTAAATCAGAATTTAGTTTCACAAAATGCACCTTACAAAAAGACAAGCCTTCAGAATGATATATTCTGATTATTTATTGATGTTTAACTTTCTTGTTTGATGACTAGGACAAATTTGGTTTCATAATTGCACTTCTGTTATGTAAACCATATCTGAAACACTCTTACCATATGCATTATGTTTAAATTACTTGCTATTGTGGACCATGCTTTATTCATTAATGAAACAGTCAGTTTGTGAGCAATAGAGGGCGCTCTTCATTCAGTCTCATTTTTGTTTTTACCAAAATAGCAGCTACCAACATAACACTTTCTGGATTTCATGCTATTATTTAGGAGCATGGTTTAAATAAGGGCAATAAACGTGTGCTCGGGAGGTGTTAAACACCGTGTTTAAGACTGATTGGAGTCGGGATGCTCATAGTTACCAAAATGTAATTATCAGCCTCAAGACTCCAACCGGTCTTATAAAACACGTTTAATACAAACCAAGCACATATTTATTCCAATTCATATAATCATGTATCTCTTTGGTCATAATATCAACACTTTTTGGTTCAAAAGTAAATAAAAAAATAAAAAAACAAGTCAAAAATGAAAAAATTCCAATGATTTTGTTCAACAATTTCACTTCAAGCTTTTCAAAACACCCCTTTAGCTATATATTAATTGAGTGTTCAGCTCGCAAGTCAGATGCAAACAATTCATATGATGGAGATTCATATAATGACGCACAGATGCAGCTGTGGCAAGTGCATTGTGAATTTAAGGACTATGAAATACTGACTCACTTATGTAGCATTGCGCATGAGTACGTGAGGATTGTGAATGTTCAACCAATAAAATGGTTAAAGCACTGGATTTCATAGGAGTCAAAATTTCATGTGACACCGGAAAAGTGTTTTAAGACCAGCTAGCCATGTCTTAACCATCCGTTCAAGGACAGCCACGTGACGGGCTCTCGACCAATGGGAATGGGTAAACTGTCTTAGGTACTTATGGATATTCATTAAAATGCACAATCACAACCCACATCACTTAGCATTCATTACCAAATAATAAATACATAAACAAACAGAAATACAATAGGGCCCAGTAACTAATTTGGCAACCAGAAAATCTACAGTTCTACGAAGTATACGGGCAATTCCATGATGACCGACATTAGTTAGAGAGCTTCATGCGTAAAAATATAAAAGCCATGTTCACAAAGCCGCCCTCAAGTAACATAACTGAGAGAAAAAAAGAACCGAATAGATACCAAAAGACTAATTCAAAATCCTTACTATAAGTCATCAAGTTTTAAAACGCCAATTTATGTTGTGTCACTTCAGCAAATAAACTTCAACAGATCCTAAATTTATTTTCGGTTTTAACAGCATAGAACTGCCCATATAATTTTCATCCCTTCATAGACTTCATGTAGTGCATTCTCAGTAGACTAAAGACACATTGGATGTAGTTTCTCTGATGTTGATGTCATCACAAAGTGGTGCAGTTTCAGGGCATTCCAGCATCAAGAGCAATGTCTCCTTGGTAAGAGCAGGAAAATCTGAAATAAAAAATCATCCATGTACATTTAAAAAGACAAATACATTTCATAAAAAAATAAAAAATAAAATGCAACGTTGCCAAGTCCCCGGTAGCAAAATTAAATTCCATCATGACACTCTTCTTTGGGACTATTAGTATCTCTCCGGAGCTTTCACTGCTTTAGTGAAAGTGTCTTCAAACTGGCTGCAGACAAGCTGTACCTCTCAAATGAGTATCTCTGAATTAAAGGCATTCTCCTGGTCATGAGAATATCTAGACCTCAGAGAGTTAACCATATAATAGGAAGGGTTTGACCTTAGTCATGTTAGTGGTAGCCTGCTAGCCAGGCAAAACAATGGCGGCTAGTCAAAACCGGCCCACCTGGCGAGTCAAAATTATTGAGATAAGGTATGAAACTTTTCCGCGTAGCTGCAGATTTACGCAGTGTTATTTTAAGAGGCCTGAGAAAAAAATAACCTGATACTTATGCACATTCACAGCTTTTTTTATGCAGAATGTTGCGCCAAAATCACTAGGCTAGTTAAGAGTCTGGTTCACTAGCCCGGCTGGTTAGTGAAAAAAAAAGTTAAGGACGAACCCTGATAGTATGTGCAAGATAGGTTCAGTGTGGATCAAGAAACCGTGACAGGATTGCATCCTTAGGATTGCGCACTCAGGAAGACAGTTTATGATGATACTCTGAAAGCTCAGTGACTAAATCTGTACCTAATGCAGTTCTTATCAGAACTGCTTACTGCCACATTACATGGGGTATCAGCAATATTAGTCTCTATCATGCTTCGCATCACCTACCGATATAGCTAGGCAGTCAGCTACCAGGACCACCAACGCCACTTTTATTTAATCAAACATCAGCTCCCCTCTCTGGCTACCGACCCCCTCAACTGGCACTTGCCCTGGCGTCCCTTCCAGGCAGATGCCAGACGGGATGGGAGTAAGTACTCTACCATAAGCATAGTTGATCCTAGTGCCCATCCTATAGGTCCCCAGATATTGGAAATGCCATGGATGACCAGGACAACTGATGTAGAATGCTGGCCATCACTCGCAACCTCCCTATGGATACCACAGATGAACAACAGGAGACAATTAACAGAAACATGCCGTGACCAAAACAAGATGAAAGGGATTATTTGAATAAATGATAGAATTTGAAAGATTAAAGCGTTGTTTGCATTTGCCTTGGAAACTTAGCTTTGTTTTGTACAGCAAAGTTGTAGCGTGTCTATAATCAACCCATAATTCACATATTAAAGATTGTTACAGAAACAAGTATTTAAGTTATTGAACAAGTTTTTAGTTTACCTGCAACACGTGTTCCTCTTCTTGTGGTTCTGATAACAGGCTTTCAATGAATTTCAAGAGGGAAAAAGTTACTCCGGTCCTGTCCTGTTAAAGAATGAGACAATAATGCAACATAGATTAGTTTGGGTAGCTAAAAATACTTGCGAGGCTACGTAAAATATTTAGTTTAAAACTAAAATCATGGGGGTCTCAAGACTCGACGAAATCCTGAACCAAACTGTCAGTCACACTTGGCCAGCACAAAACTATAACTGATATAATAAGAGAAAGACAATCTCAAGAATGGGGAAGGACATCCAGGAATTGCATATGAGGGGAGAACCCATGCATGCCATGGGACACAATCACGAGGAAGACATCAAAGAAATGGCTAGACTGCCTCAAAACTGACTGCAGAGCGAGAGACATCTCACTGTCAGAAGCTTTCTGCTGGCAACCCACAGAAGTGTTTGGCAGGACATCACGAGGCAGAATTAGCCACCACACAGCCTGCTGGTGTGGAAGGCTGAGATCAAGGTCAATGGATGACTTCAAAAGGCAAGGGGAACAATAACCAAACAAGACTTCATACATACATGAAGCATTTCATACAAAGTTCATACCTGGGTGGTTGACAAACCTGCTCTTGCAATTAAGGCTTCTCCAGGAAAACATGTTGACCAGGATAAAATTAGCAGGGCAAGTACATCGATGTAGTTCTGGAAACTGTATTTTCCTGACATATTTTGCAGGATATCTTTCGATACACCAACCACACAAACCAACAGACGAGTAATTACTGCAAATCTGAATCATACTCCTTTATATTTATACAAAATGAAGTAAATGTTAAGAGACTGGCAAAAGTTTTCCATCAAAATAACATACTTTCAAATTGCAACAAAGTCTTTAAAAACCTAGCATTTGCTTCATGTTTTTCCATACCCACATCAATGCTTACAAATTGGTATTGTTACGAACCCAGAATGCTTGATTATGGAAATCTAGCGCCCTCTGGATTCACTCTGTCCATGAAGTACACAATCTTCTTGTTGTCTTTTATAGTTCCTGTATTTTACCCATTTATCGTAAATTGCCAACTTGCACTTTTATTCCTAGGGTCTCTTACCAAGAACAGCGCATGATGCAATACCACGCGCGCTACTGTATGCATTATTCATGTCGCGATGTACATGTGCGCGACTGACCACACCTCCCTTTGCCCCAGCGAGCTAAGTTCCTTTCCCCATAGCATGCGTGCTTTGGCGTTCTCCGAGAGACTGCTCAGCGGCACGGAGCATTTCTCTCCCCCGTGTGTTACCCATGAACACTAACTGGAGTTCTCGGTCCAGTTTTCCAGTCCCGTACTTAGCTCGAGGGAATGGAACGTTACCTTGCGTGGTCGCGTAGCTGGGCGTGGTAAGACATCCTGCGGTGTCAATAACCTGTGACACAGTAACCTTTTAGCTTGTCACTCACTCCATCAAGGTTGCTCGAGATGTTGCGTAAACACTTTTGCACTCTGATCTAACTATTTGCACACATCTATCTCTGTATTTGCACACTTCTCTCTCCATGTTTTTCCTTATGTAAATGCACACGTTTCTAGTCTCTTGCACTAGGCACTCTTAGTAAACCATGTGACTAGTCATGTGACCCTTAGACATGGAAGATTACTATTGGTTAATTCCTAATCAGTGCTCATGCATTATTTAATCCCGAGACTTCTACTGCCTATAAATACCGGAGGTTTTCCTCACTTTCGGCAGTGCGGCGAACCACGAAACCAATGTAGTGCGAACGAACCCTTAACCCAAAGTTGTGCGGCGAACTTATATGTTGTGCGGTAAATCGTATGATGTGCGACGAACTCGACTCTGACAGACCGATTGTTGTGCAACTCTTGTCACTACGAAGCATCGGCCTCCCTTGGTGTTTGAGGCGCGGTGAAGTAATAGTGCAATCACTAGTACTAGTGTTATTATGAAGCATCCTTCTCCTAGATCCCTCGAGGAGTGTGTAGAAGGTGGTGAAATAGTAATACACTAGTCCCAATGGTGCTGTGCGGTTTCGAATGGCCATTGGACTGCTAGTCTTAGCTTGAACATGTTGTGCGGTTGTCTGGTGTTCTAGCCCAGCCAGAGCTAGTTCATCCCCGTCACCACAGCGGACCGCTCCCGCTGTGGCCAGCCGGCTCCCCGTAGCCATTCCCCCCGTAGTTCAGCTATGCTAGCCCGGTCTTGTCATAAACACTATCCTTGGTGCATAGTGCCTCGATTGACCTTGGATACCCGATACGCCACATGCACACTTTGGTTCGAACTGTAGTGCGGCCTGGTACACTTGCTGGCCCCGTCCAGTTACCGTTGCCTCTCGGTCACCGTAGCGGACCGCTCCCGCTTCGGTCTGGCCGTCGATAACCCGTACCGTGCCGGTGCCCACTCAGTTCGTATTGGTTGACATGGTTTTGCCATTGTACATAGTACATGTATAGACTTTGTAGACGCCAACCTGTTATCTCTATAACGCTACCAAAGACTACCAAAATGAGAAACCCTACAGGTTGATGAAATCTAACAAAGTTATGTAAAGTGAAGAGATGAATAAATCAGTGTATTGACATGTGTGACTGTCACCCCAAAGCTCTGTTTCCCTCCAACTTATTGAATTATTGTTGACTCTAATAAATGTTTCATGAACTGCTATTAGGGAACGCAACAGTATTAATGGTTCTTTTTATATGTATAACAAGAACAAGAACATATATCATTGCCTGTCAAATGTATTACAGTCATTAATAATTTGTGGATTATGTATACTCTGCATTACGCCAGTACAAACCGCGTGTGTTCCGAAGTTGTGGAGTTACAATGGATGGAACTGTGGTAGACATGACAGTGCCCCTTGGAGCTTATCAGGTCATGAGTAAGCTGGATGTCGGGACATTTGTGAGGATCTTATCTGCTGGGATGTACATAAATGCAAAGGGATGACAGTCATCAAGCTATCACAAAAGAGCAAGGTAAGGATAGTTTAAAAGAAGAGTATTAATGTATTTTGAAAAACAAATGTTTGCTAATTGTATAGAGAGATTTATTATTTTGTAAAAGAATGTTTGATGTTTTATGGTTGTCAGAGGTACCTTTTTGTCCCCCACCATACACCTGTGTTTCAGGTCATTCGCACCATATGCACAACGCTAGTCAAGACGGGAAACTGGCCAAAACTCCATAGTGCGTGATGCACCGTGTGCATGTGTGCCTGACAGACCTCATTTTTCAAAACGAAAACCACTCCAAGTACTTGTAACACAAAATATACCTCTAGTTTAATTGTAAATGTCAACCAATTTTTTTATCCACCAATTCATGTCTCTATAAAACAGATGCATTCAAAATTTCATCAGATGGCAATGCTCAACATTTGGCGCCGCTCATCATTCTAAGTCACAATGGGACACGGTAACCCTTTGCGTTGCCGGTAACCCCTTGCGATGCCGGTAAACCCTTGCGATGTGGTTGAGTGGCAGTGCAGGTGTCCAAACTGTCAATCAAGTTGTACCCAAAGCTGTCACTGACTGATAACTCCGTGTCGGCAATTCATACATCAAATGAGGCCGACTCTATAAATTTAGGACCCTCAAGAAATTTGTTGTCATTTGAGCCAGCTAGACAACTTTCAATCTTTAAATTTCCAAACTCCAAGCAAATTTTCTAACTACCAAGCATCATGCCTGTGGCAACTCGTAAGGTGAGGGCTGCCAGGCCAGAGCCCCAGTTTCCATGTGGGTGTTTACATAAATGTGGAGGCCAGTGGTATAATGCACATGTTCTTTCCTTTCAAGGGCCATTTCCATGTTAAAATAACCAGCTTGCTAATATTTGTGTTTTTACTTTATTGCCCATATCACTATGTACCCACTGAAATAAAAAAATGTTAAATCACCACAATGCATTTGTATAATTTTGATCAAAAATTAGCCAGAATTTTGACATTTTTAGGTAAAATTGCGTGACATTTCTACAGCTTGTCCAATGGTGCACAGTTTTCATTCTTTCATTCTGCTGCTTGAGGATCTGCTGCTTGAAAACGTTAGAGATGGCAAACGTTCTAGTTGGCAAACGGTCCAGTTAAGATCAAACAATTTGTTTGATCTTAAGTGTAAAGGGTTACACCACCCGTTTTCACAAAACTCAAAACTTTTTGGACAATTTAGCTAAAATGGGCACGCCCGACAGTTTTCAATGGGCTCCATTACCTGCCATTCAAATTTGTTGATCTTAGTTCATTTGGAAAGATAACATGTCGGAGCGGGTTCAAGTACAGTTAACTCTGGCTTAGTTGGTTGCAAATGCACTACAGATAATTTGGACTCCCTTCAGACCGCCAATTCACTTCAATGGTTCACTTTTAGTGACCAGGTGGTGTCATCATCATGCCAAATTTTAAATGTTAGTACCACACACTTCATTATTATCATTATTTATTTCGCATAAAAGAAAAAACAGAAATACAAAAGACAAAACTAAAGCCAGAGGCATATGCATGGAGTTGAATTTCCAACTTAACTCTTCTGTGTTATCGTTACCTATAAATGTACACTAAAAAAAGGATAAGTAAGTAGCTCGCTGTCAACGTATCCATATGAACAAAAAATCACGTAAATACTTTCCGTAGTCTCAATTATAGCATAGGCTCTTAGAAAAGTATGTAAAACCAGTGTTCAATCAAACAAAAGCTTTTACGACTTTCCAATCGCTGCCAAAATAGCAAACTTCATCCAATGGTTTCATGTCAGACATTGGGTGACAGCTCATGTATAAATAACTGCGTGTTTATTAGTTAACACAAAAAAAATGTAACAATATTTTTTTCAGAGTATCCCTAATCTGAAGGAAACATCAGAGTATATTACCCCTTGTGCTGAAAGATTAGATGTGGAGCAACTGAAACAAGATTTGCCGTGTGGCTACGAGGGGCGCTTCACCGATGCAGCAAGAGACTGGTGGACATCCTACTTCAAGGACTTTGACAGAGTGATGGAGGTAATGCCACAAGTTCGGCCTCATACATGTAGGTTTGATACTTTATGAAACAAGAATTTGAAACAAGATTTGCCGCGTGGCTACGAGGGGCGCTTCACCGATGCAGCCAGAGACTGGTGAATATCCTACTTCAAGGACTTTGACAGAGTGATGGAGGTAATGCCACAAGTTCGGCCTCATACATGTAGGTTTGATACTTTATGAAACAAGAATTTGAAACAAGATTTGCCGCGTGGCTACGAGGGGCGCTTCACCGATGCAGCCAGAGACTGGTGGACATCTTACTTCAAGGACTTTGACAGAGTGATGGAGGTAATGCCACAAGTTCGGCCTCATACATGTAGGTTTGATACTTTATGAAACAAGAATTTGAAACAAGATTTGCCGCGTGGCTACGAGGGGCGCTTCACCGATGCA